ACGCAATCATTGGAAGAAATAACAAGCAGCAGCAAAGCCACGCGCGGGAAACTGAAATCTACCAAATCCGGAAACCAAATCTCCCTCAGGATTAGAAGAACGTTCTCGTTCCTCGAACGTAAAGTAAAGTATTAGGCACTTCTGTGCCTCTCTCCTTATATTATGAGAAGGTGTTTTCCATAACCACGATAACTGAAACGGAAACTTAGAATATAGCGTAAGCAAAAAAATACTTTGGGACAGGGACCTAAATTATGCGTTAGTTTAGGAATAAAGAAACATAATATTTGAAAATTCCCAAATGAAAGCCCTAAAAATAATTACAATATGTTTTCCTTCGCTTCCCTTCCAAAGCCAGCGTATGAAATTAAATCAATTAAATCATGACGTCACAAACTAAATTGAATGCAAATATCCGCAGGAGAATAAATCAGATCAATGTAAAAAATACAAGTCATGGATATTAAGTATAACTTGAAAACAAATACTAAGTGGCATGCCATCACAGCGTAAGGTGACTAAAAACTCACTCTCTAGCTGGAGCATTGAAAGGAAGCATTCCTTCGGAGAATTTGTGGGTGGATGGCTTGAGGAGCGACGCAAGGTGGGAAAAAGTCTTTGTACATTAAATATAGTTAGCAGCTAGAGTAGCCTGTGTACAGACGTCCCCCTTCCTTAGGAAAAATCGATTTTTCCTGAGTGAGGGGGGACCTCTGTACACAGGCTACTAGAAGAGACTGATTGTGAAAGCCGGAAAACTGCAAAGATAAATGGTGCTGCTTTAAGTGTTGGGAGCCGCATCCCTGACGGTACACAATCCCTTGTTTTTTGTTCACAAATTGTAACTGAATAAATTGGTTGAAGAGTAATGTACCATGGTCACACAACACGGTCATACCATCGCCAACCATGGTCAAACATGGTCGGTAATGAAAAACTATGGTACCATGGTCAACGGTCAATATTAACTAATGCATCGGTTTGATAATCAGTGAAACTGCCACTCAGACAAGTGGCCAATAATGCAAACACTCGAGTGGTTTTCTGTCTGTTGTATTATATCAGAACAATAGCGTGACTTCAATGAGAGTTCCCGAAGTTACTTTTAGGGTATCGGCATGAATACATTGATGGCAACAGAATCGAAAGGGTCTCAGTTTATAAAGCTGCTTGGAGTTTATGTTAGCAGTGATCTGAATTAACCCATCACTAACCCATCACGTAGACTATACATAATTAAAAAGGGAAATAAGAGGCATGAGTCTCTCAGAGTTCTCAAGCAGTTTGATGATCCACCAGCTGAAACCCTCGCAATGCTTGAAACCCTTGCAACCCTCGCAATGCTTGAAACCCTCGCAACGCTTGAAACCCTCGCAATGCTTGAAACCCTCGCAATGCTTGAAACCCTCGCAACGCTTGAAACCCTCGCAATGCTTGAAATCCTTGCAACCCTTGCAATGCTTGAAACCCTCGCAATGCTTGAAACCCTCGCAACGCTTGAAACCCTTGCAACCCTCGCAATGCTTGAAACCCTCGCAACGCTTGAAACCCTTGCAACGTTTGAAATCCTCGCAACGCTAGAAACCAGCACTCCCTCCACACGCGCGAAAATTATGAACGAGGCGGAACGAACGTGACACCATAGGAACAATATCATTGGTTTGACACCCTCGCAACCCTTCACACTCTGAGCCAATCACAGTAGACCTTAGGATAGCTGCTACAGTACTGCAGACTTTCTTCTTCTCACATTCTACGCTCAAAAAATTCATGACGTTTTCGTACTCAGGAGTGCTTTCATAGCTTTTTCGTAGATCTTCCATGATAGCTACTGACTAAAGTATCTTCTTTCACAGGTTCAAAGGGAAACGCTATTAAACCGTGGAATTTACAGTAGGTACCAGATCCCTGAATATTTTGCCAATCTGCCAAAGAGGAAGATGGTACACGACTGCATGGTGAGAACGGCTTTTCAGTCTGATGTATATAACACCCAATGAGACATCGTCAAATGTGTATGTCATCGCTCACAGGTTGTGGGGAAGTAATTGTGGGTATGGGGTGGGGGTAGGAGGTTAAACATGGGTTTAGGGTAATCCTGAACCCAGTTGACACCGTTTTTGTCAATTATAAAGGAGGCGGTAAAAACCAAATTCCGAGGCTGCTTGTGACTCTAGTCAAATTGCCTTTTTGAGGTCCTTACTGTAGTTAGACAGGTAAATTGATTGGTTATTAATTACAGATTATAGTTGTTGGTATTATCCTCTCGCCTTTCTTGAACTCACGTTTAACTCTCTCAAAACCGCTTACCAAACAAACCAGATATGGCTTATCTAACATTTCAAACTAGTTTTATACTGAGCGTTTTACTTGTCCTATTTTTGTTAGGAAAGCTGCGAAGAGCGGAACAACGATGTAACAGCAAGGCAGCATTCCGGTCATGAATTAGTTAACCGTAAAAACAAGCAAACTACCCCTATACGAATTCCTGTAAAAAATGATTTACACAAACTTCGCTACAGACATAGGTCCACTAACCACTCATGTTGGAATCCACAATAAAAAGCCTCCTTCCTAAGAGTGTTATAGTTTTCCATATTTTAAAGATGAAATGGACTTGATATATATATATATATATAAACAGGAATAATACAGCGGAATGGCATCGTCCGTATAGAGTGTAACGTTACTGTGGGGGTTGCATTACGTTAAGTCATTCATACAAACTACAGTCAGACCTCGTTAATACGGACATTGAGGGGTCCGTAGAAAGTGTCTGTATTAATGAGGTGTCCGTATTAAGCGGGTTGAATTTAGAGAAAATGAAAGGGGTTTTCTTTCCCCACGGACAAAACAAACTGTCCGTAATAATGAGGTGTCCGTATTTAGCGGGTTGAATTTAGAGAAAATGAAAGGGCTTTCTTTCCCCAGGGACAAAACAAACTGTCCATAATAATGAGGTGTCCGTATTAAGCGGGTGTCCACAAAAGAGGGTTTGACTGTATAAGAAGCGGGATTCGCGGGTTCGATTCCCGCCGGGCCGGTCCAGCTCTCAGTGTCCTAAAATAACTGACAAATGAAGGTACTGTCTTTGCCCCGCAAAGACTAGACTTTCGCGTGCCTCGGATGACCACATAAAATGGCTGTCCCGTCTCCAGTAGATGACGTAAAAATAGTGCCCTCATATCGTACCTTTGTACTAAATACATTGACACTCATAAATTATGCTTATATAACCAATAACGCGAATATGAAAGGAACAGTTTGTCTACCGCAGTACAAGTTGTGCACAGCTGGTATAGAACCAAGCAGTGTATTACAGCTTGTAAGTGCTTTGGGTTGGGGATCATTTTATTTCAGGTTCAACAGCCTATCTTGCAAACCAAACGGTTTAAAACCCATACCCATTTTTTTATCACCGCAGTTAATAAAAAGAGCAGTACAGTGAATTTAGTTAGGGCGCGTTCGATTGACCGTATTCCGTCCAGATTAAGAATACATTGAATAAATTCGAAAAATCACTTTACTTTCATTACATGGTAAAACATGGTTGTCACAGCCAGAAGTTTCTGAAATTCCCTGACTACTCCCTAGCGGACTATTTCCTGATAAATATAAAATTTCCCTGACCAACTGAATTAACAATTGCACAAATTAGTCCTGATAATGGACTCAACCCTCTTCTTAGAGCCATCCTCTCCACCCATTTATTCATGCTTTCAGCAAGTCACGTGCAGTGTACATGAATTGATAGTTCCTCAACATAACGCTCAAAAAGGATCGATTTTCTTGAAAACCTAACGGCAGCTTGTTCGATTTCATGAACAATATTCTACAAATAAAACATAGTTCATGTCCGTGAAATGTACAAATGTAGTCTTAAAATTTCACTTTTCTCTGACTTCTTTCAAGACTTTTCAAAATTTTCCTTGACTCAAGTGAAATTCCCAGACTTTTCCCTGACCTGGAAGAAATTTTTTCCCCTCCCTATTTCCTGAGCTACAGCAACCATGTAAACTGGAAATGTGGTGGACAGAGATGAATGAAGCACTTCAATGGTGCAAAAATTTGCGGTCGAAAGGATTTGCCACAATTTTCTGCGTATTCTTATTCCGGAAAACGATCAATGAAACGCATTCTTGATTGGTATATTCTGTAAAGTCGCTTTCCATTAGTCAGGGGCTCTGCCCGGCCAGACCAGCCAACTGCTAAAGTAAATTCCGGCGTTAAGCAGATCTGTCCAGTCAGATAAGTAATATGTCAAGCAGGAGATGTAGTGTTTCATAACCAGATGAAACACCGAGAAAAGAGTTGAAAATACGACGCGCAGCGGAGTATTTTTGACACTGTGTCGAATGCTTGATATTACTCCTTAGACAAAATGATTTTAGAAAGAGAAATTAAGGAAGCAAGAATGAGCAGTTTTTCATCTGATTTCCAAACACTCATTAAACATTTTTAATTTCCTTTGTATTTTCTTTATGAAACATTAATGAGTTTGAAAAGTCTCTTTCTAAATTTTGTGCATAACATTGTTAGGTTTCTGCTGAAAACTCTGGAAAAAAGCCTCTTTCGTTTTCAAGATAAACAGTCTGGCCGGCCAGCAGTTCTGGCTTTAGGTAACCGCCCTTAGGCTAGGTACACACGGCTCCGGACCAGTTGAAAATTCGTGCCTTTAATAGCTGTAGGGAACCACCTTTAACCGTACGGAAATTTCGACGCATAGCCGTTCAAAGTTCCGTGTAAACAAAGTGAAAAAAATGAACGGTCCTGTAAGAATGAAGTGTCCGGTCGAAAATTCATCCGGTGCCGTACGAAAGTAGCCTTAGTCGGGTCTTTGAAGGCAATGAATCGCTATCTGCTTAATCACTTTGCACTTTGATTGTAACCAAGAAAAACCAAAAGATAACCTGAGTAACTTTCATTTAGAGAAAAATTGTCATGGTCGGTAATTGCAGTCTTTTAGCTACATAATTAAAACTGTAAAAATGATAGATAATTCAATCACTCTTTTTATTTTTCAGTGTTTTCTGTAACACATGTGCATCTGCTGGTTCAATATGTTTGTAATACTGTTTCTTTGTTTCTATTATTTCAAACCCAAATCCTTTATAAAATCCTATGGCTCCTTCATTGCTGACTTGGACATGCCTGTAAATTAGTATGACAGTTTGATTAGTAACCTGCCTTTAACATCCGTCATAGATTACAATTTATTTCAACACATTTTTTTTCTGTTTTTAAAAAGAGTTATTGTTCCCTGTTGTGTTTCCTTATAATGCATCAGTAATTTGAATTTCACTTTCCCTGTTGATGTTAGTAAGGTGAAGCCTTGTGTGAATACCTTCCTTGACTCAATCAGCATAAATAAATAGTAATATAAATAGTGGCTAGAGGTGACGTGAGGGAGGGGAGGGAGGGGATTTGCCTTGTTGATGACCAATTCAAAAGTTTTTGACATTCGCCTTCCTCACCCCACCCCGTTGCTTGGGAAAGTAAATTGTAACAAAGATATTAGTATAATGTAATAATAAAGATAACCACGGAGAACTTAACAAAAGGTAACAAAAGAGAGTCATAGATGTTACCATTTCTAGTGTAAAAGAAATTGTAAAGAGAAAAGCCAGTAGATCACGGTAGAAATTGAATATCATTATACAGGACAATGTGACAGTTTAGGGTAATTTGATGCCACCATACATAGTATTACCAAGGTTAAATTTAGGACCCAGACGTGAGACCAGGAAAGGAACAGGCTGGAGAGAAAAGAAGACAAACGAAAAACAAAAAAGGTGGAAGAAACGAATTGAAGATGAATGGCCAAAACATGTAAGCACAAAGAAAGCATTGCAAGTTAGCCTGTTTCTTAAGACATAATAGTTGATTCATTGTTTTTAATACATTTTGTAATTTAAGCCTAAATACCAGTACAGCATTGCACTGCCAGAAAATAAACAATGGGATGTAATCATCTAGCCTGAGAAAACAGCCAACATTAATTTTCAAGACACCACCACTGGTTTCATAACATCTGAGGAACAAGTGCAAAAATTCCATACTGATGACGTGTCACACATTACAGCTGTTTTCACAGGCTAATAATTATGTACTGGTTGAAAAATTACCTTGGTTCAAGTAGTGGGAAATAAAAATGAAATTTTAATCAAGGGTAAAATGGAACTGCAAGATATTTTTTTGTTTTTGCATCAAGATGATCTGACACATGCTGAATGAGAGCTTTAAGCTTTAAAAATGAAAAAGGTGGGTTAATGGTGGTGGTGGTGATGATAATAATAATATGGATAATGAACATATTCAGAATAAAAAGACTTGATTACCTTAAAAGGAACTGGATAAAGGTGAAGTAAAGGATGATGATGATGATGTACCATGTAAATTGATCTGGTATGTCAACAGAGTCACCTTCTTCTCAATATTTTTTCCTTATTATGTAAGATACACTTCACTACTTTAACCAACATACATGTACACTAACTACAGATTGGAAGGATTTGTCAGCTACCAGCATTCATTTTATTTTCATTCTTCTCTACCTAGCTTATATGTTTCATGGTTGGGTTGTTATTATATATGTTGTGGTTCAATTTTATCCTTGGTTTTAATATTACTTTCTTTTGTTTTTGGGTATGGTAATGTATGATAATGAGTTTGAAACAAAAGAAAAGAAAATTTCAACCAACAATCAAATTCACTAACCATTCCTGACCAATCTTTTCGGAGCAAAACCATCATGTGCAACACTAGTGAATGCTTACGTTACTGAACTGAAATGATAGTAGTCTGGTAATTGGCCTTTGCCAATCACCACTAACCTATCCACAATTAAAGTCACTTACAAATAAACATTGTCAATGTTGCCATCTTTGTCGCAGCATTTTAAAACATGTTCAAGCATCATAGTCCCTTAAAAAAAGAGAAAAAAAGGAAGTGAAATTAATAAATGAACTTAAAAATAAATGTGTCATTTTCCAAGCAAAGTATTATTGTAATATTATTGTGTTTGCAAAGCACAATAAAGGCATGGCAAGCAATAAAGCACAAACATTGAAGCTATAAAACTCTGTTCATTTCATGAAAGTTTACGAGGATAAATCTTTTCCATGTACCAGTATGTTGCAAATATTGTTAAAGTCACTAATAAGGCAAATAATAATAATAATAATAATAATAATAATAACATTTACATGCATAAGCACAAATTTCTATGTTCATAATTATAATCTCAACATAAGTACAGTGGAACCCTGCATTACGGCCACTTGGTTATACGGTCACCTTGTTATTCCAGCCATTTTTTTGCTGTAGCAAAATGGCCATACATTTTCTAATAAAAAAACTCTTGCTAGGATGTTCACCTGATAGTAAGGCCAACGGCCACATTTTAAAATCCCAAACAGTAGAATCTTTGACAATTTCATTTCCTTAATATGGCCACTCGTCAGAAAGAAAACATAAATGTATGAGAAGAAGTCAGGGGGACCCAAAGACTGTTTTCTGTAAAATATCTGTTCGGAGAAGCAAATATTGCCTAATATTTTCTAGATGAGCATTCCATTCAGGTACAATTTTCAAGCTTATCTAAAAAATTCCCAATGATTTTCCAAAGTTTGATTTTTAATATTAATACTCATGTTAGGCTAATTTTCATAGAAAAAGGAAACCTAAATTTTTTGGATTCAAAAATGTGGAGAAAGGAATAAGAAAAATTCTCACTTTGGTAAAATGTTCAGTTGCATCTAAAATTTTCAGGAAAATAACACTGAAGCCCTTGTAATTTCAGATACAAAACAGATACAAATAATTTTTATAGCCCCGGTTAGAGTGCATTTCTAGAGATCTAAAAGTACTAAAAAGACTTTGCAGTGTATTTAGGAGGAAATCATCATGGGGTGCCCCTGAGAAGTGCGAAGGCAATGCACAGTGTATTTGTCATTACGGTCCTTAAGTCATGAAATTTGACCCTGTCCCAGTAATGTGGCCACCCTGTTAATATGGCCAATTTTGTATGACCCATTGGTGACTATCAATGTGGTTCCACAGTATTTTCACTATAAATTCAATATTCAACCCAAAGAACAGTGACAGTTTCATGTGCAGTTGTAGAAATTAACTTGTGTGGTGAAAATAATGGGTCATATTCAGGTCTCTCAAAATTAATAATTAATTTTGACGTTTTTGACATTTTAATTTATTCTTCCTTTGAGTTTGTGAAAAGAGTTTCAAGCTCTGTGTTTCGATGGTTTGAGCTTCAATGGCTTTCAAAGTGGGGCCTTGGTCTGTACTAGCTTCATTGTCAATAATAGCCATGAGGCTTTCTGTTATAATATTTGTTTTTGTCATTGTATCAGTCTTTTTGTAGCTTTTAATGCTGCTCTTATTTCTGCAGCCGCTTACAAATATGATTTGTCATGCTTAAAATCGACATCTGTCAAGTATAGTTATCATCATTCCGTTATTTAATGATTTGTGTATGTTGCTTGGTGTGAGAAAACTTCTTCTTTTTGAGAGTGTGCTTTTGAGATGACTTTGGTTGCTGAATAAGGACCTTCTTCAATTGATTCAAGTGACTGAAATATTTTTTAGAGGAAGAAAGAGGGCCCAAGGCACGCCCAGTTATAAATTCTCTTCAGTCCTCTCCATAATATCTGGGCACTTTTACATACAGGCACTGTAAATTGTTCACCCAGTTTAACCCAGTACTTGAAAACAGCTTACTTCACATGCATCAAACAGCCACCATGTATCGCATGGTAAAATAACCCAATAAAAACTTATGTTAGCCAGATGAATGGTTTGCAAGAGAACTGTACACAGGCACTGTTTTCAGAGAATACTTACAGTCCCCCAATTTTTTTCTTTTGCTGGACATTTACAAGGCTTCATTTCAAATGGAAAAGGTTTTGGAGAAAGCTTGTAGGATTAGGGGATTAGATTGGAAGGAAGTGCAGGTGGGTAGTGGGTGTTGTGAACAAGGGAAGACGTTTGCCCGCAGAATATTAGGATTTAATCACCCAATCTCTTACTAACACAAACATGGTGGCAATCTGCAACCACGAGGATTGTAGGCTCAAACAATAAAGTCATAAATCACACTACATATACAACACAACGAATTATAATGTAACGCGATACGTCACACAACTCTTGCAGTGTTCAAGTGTTTCTAGTTTCTAACTTTAGTTCACAATGTCATGTACTGGAATGGTTTAGAAGATCTCTTCCCAAGTTACATGACAACTTCTCAAGTTACATGACAAAGTTGTCCTTGACCGTTACAACAGATGACATCACAACACCACCACCACTTGATCAATCAGATCAATAACCATAGTTTTAATAACACCACCAACTGACAAGAAACAGTTCCGTTTGATTCTGAAGATGACTCTATACATGTACCACACAGGTTGTTCAAGAGTCAAATTGTCAACAACAGCCTATCAAGGACTACACTCACCCAAATGATCATAATTCCACCTACTACAAGTATTATAGCTTAAAATAATGTTGTCAAGTCAACATACATACCAATTCCCAGTCTTCTATATGGGGCTAAACACCCCAGAGTCATGATATACAACCTTCTGGCATCTTCAGTCTGGTCAATACGACAACACACTGCACCAACAACAATGTCATTGTAATAGGCTAGAACAGCAAAAAAGAACTGCAGATTAAAACCAGTTCATTGAACTAGTAATAAGAAAGCTATTTAGCCCTGGAAGACTTACATTTTATATGTATTTGGGCAGTTTCAGGCCAAAAGTCGTGTACATTCTGAAAAAAGAGCCAAGCACAAAAGATAGAAAGAAAAAAAGAGACACTAGAACTTTCTCTGCCCATCTTTTATCATTTGTTACTACCTCAGAGAACCTTCACGTAATTTCATATCAAACTACATGTACAACACCTTTCGATTATGTTTTAAAATTGAGATAAAAAGTATGTTCAAGTCAATAAAATTGATCTTTAATTTAAG